CTCCGCCCCGCGCCTGCGCAGCGTCCTGGTCGCCCGGCCACCGGGAAGCGCTCCAGTGACCCACCCGACAGGTGGTGGGCTTGGATTGTTGTGGTTTTTGTTGCTGTTCCTTGCTTTGGGGGGAGGGGGGCAACAAAAACAAGGAGCAACCGTTCACTCCACTTTGCCTGCTTCTCAGGACCACCAGGCCCAACTGTAGGAAAAAAGCACTACTGCCGTTCCCCTCGGAGACAAGAAAGAACTTTTGTTTTTTAAATATCTGTAGGTAGCAACTGCCCTGACTATTTTGACGTCCACCTCCAGTGTGGGGACGTCATTGTGGTTACAAAGAATGAAAAAAATGGCTCCTATCCAAACTTGAAAGCCTGAGGAAATGAGGTAACGTAGAGTGAGTATGCCAGAGGAGCACGTCCACTCCTGTTGGGCTTTTAGGAGGGCAAATTTGGGAAAAGTGCGTTTTTGAGTCAATAAAAAGGCCCTCTCACTCCCCGCCCACGCCGTTGCATGGATCCCAGGCAGCACCACTTCGCAGAGCAATCCCTGTAATTTCTAGCTTAGTCCTCATGAGAGCACTGTACAATGGAATCAAGAGTTTATCCTTTAAACGAACATTTTCTACAAGGCGGAAAAACAAGAGGCAGCTCGGAGGACATCAAATTCCATGCACACGTTCTTTTCTACAGTATCAAAAATGTCAGTACAAAAAGAAAACTTCATCCCAGACCAGCACAAAACTGGAGTCACTACACATATGCTGGCAGAAGCGCATAGTGGCACATGCCTTAGATCCCAGGGCTGGGAGGCAAAGGCAGGCAGAGGCAGGCACATCTCTGAGTTTGAGGCCAGCCTGGTCTACATAGAGTTCCAGGACAGCCAGAATTACCTAAGTGAGACCCTGTCTCAAAATACAAAACAAAAAAGGCTGAATGAGTGCTTCCAGGGATTTCAGGCCCTGAATTGATCTCCTGAATGACATGAACACTGAATGACATAATGAGGTAAAATATAAAAAACATGTTAAAAACTACAATATAGCTAGTCTCCAAGTAGAGGGGCTAGGGTGGGGACTGAGAAAGAGACAGGGCAGATTAGAAAAACATCTAGAAGATTCAAATCTGTAGCATTGCCTAGGGGAGGGAGGAGGGAGGCTTTTTACTGGAATAGCTGCTTAGGTCTCAGGTGGGAGATAAGGACAAAAATCTTAGTTTGGAGTGCTGGGAGGCAGAGGCAGGTGGATCTCTGAGTTCAAGGCCAGCCTGGTCTACAGATGGAGTTCTAGGACAGCCTCCAAAACAATACAGAGAAACCCTGTCTCAACAACAACAACAACAACAAATCTTAGTTTGGTTGGAAAGAACATGTCACATTTCAGAGAAACCACTGGGGCCTCTAGGATGAGATGGATGGGATATAGAGCAATGGCCATAGTGGTCTGGGCTAGAAGCTTGGTGACTGATGTCTGAGGTCTTCCAAGTAGCCAGACTATGTGACTTAAGAGCCATAGCCTTTAAGTCATGTCAGTGTGTAGTCATGGTACCCTATGGGAGAGGTTCAAAGGGCAAAGAGTCAGGAGACAGAAACCTGTTGCCTTCCGGGTATATGGTTTGTGCTGTGTGTGACCCTCTATAGAACATTTCTAAGAGTTCTTACTGATGCTAGTCACAAAGCCAGCAATGAGACTGCACACTTAACAGCTAGGTAGAGAGAATCCTTAACCGGCCTTGGGATATCACTTAATTGGCAGAGTTCTTGCCTAGAATGCAGAGCTTTGGGTTTGATCCTAGCATCACCTACACCTAATGTAGGTAGCACAGGCTTGTAATTCCAGTACTAGGGAGGTAAAGGATGCTCTGACGTTCAAGGTCACTCTCCAACATACAGTTCAAGGCTAGTTAGGGATACTGGAGACTTTTTCTCAACAGCAAAAAACAAAAACAAATAAACAAAAAACAACCCAACCGCCGGGCGTTGATGGCTCACGCCTTTAATCCCAGCACTCAGGAGGCAGAGGTAGGCGATCTCTGAGTTCGAGGCCAGCCTGGTCTCCAGAGCAAGTGCCAGGATAGGCTCCAAAGCTACACAGAGAAACCCTGTCTTGAAAAAACAAACAAACAAACAAACAACAAAAAAAAACAACCCAACCACAAAGCCGGGTGTTGATGGCACTCAGGAAGCAGAGACAGGTGGATCTCTGTGAGTTAGAGGCCAGCCTTGTCTACTCCAAAGGTACAGAGAAACACTGTCTCAAAAAAACAAAAAAAAAAAACAAAAAAAAACAAAAAACAAACAAAAAACTACAATATATCATATAATAGTATACAACCATTAAAAAGAATATAAAGGGTCCATGAGGTGACTGACTCTTCAGGTTAAGAGTACTTGCCACTAAGGATGCTGACCTGAGTCCATTCCCTAGAAACCACAGTATGGAGAATCAGTTATTAAAAGTTTTCTGATCTGCATTTCCCTGATGGCTAAGGAGGTTGAAACTTTCTTATGTGTCTTTCAGCCATTTTAGATTCCTCTATTGAAAATTGTCTATTTAATTCTGTACCCCACTTTTTAATTAGCTTGTTTGGTATTTTGGAGACTAGCTTCTTGAGTTCTTTGTATATTTTGGAAATCAGCCCTCTGTCAGATGTGGGGTTGGTGAATATCTTTTCCCAGTCTGTGGGTTGATGTTTTGTATTGCTGTGTCCTTTCCCTTGCAGAAGCTTCTCAGTTTCAGGAGGTCCCATTTACCAATTGTTGATCTCAATGACTGTGCTACTGGTGTAACGTTCAGAAAGCGGTCTCCTGTACCAATTAATTCAAGGGTATTTCCCACTTTGTCTTCTAATAGGTTCAGTGTGGCTGGATATACCTTGAGATCTTTGATCAATTTGGACTTAAGTTTTGTGCATGGCGGTAGACATGGATCTATCTGCAGTCTTCTACATGCCTGCATCCAATTATGCCATCACCATTTATTGAAGATGCTTTCTTTATTCCATCGTATAAATTTAGCTTGTCAAAAATCAGGTGTTCGTAGGTGTGTGGGTTAATATCAGGGTTTTCAACTCTATTCCATTGGTCTACCTGTCTATTTTTGTGCCAATACCAAGCTGTTTTCAGGACTATAGCTCTGTAATAGAGCTTTGAAGTCAGGGACGGTGATGCCTCCATAAGTTCCTTTATTGTACAGGGTTGTTTTGGCTATCCTGGGTCTTTTGTTTTTTCATATAAAGTTGAGAATTGTTCTTTCAAGGTCTGTGAAGAATTGTGCTGGGATTTTTATGGGGATTGCATTGAATCTGTAGATTGCTTTTTGGCAAGATTGGCATTTTTACTATGTTGATCCTAACTATCCAAGAACATGGGAGATCTTTTCATTTTCTGGTATCTTCTTTAATTTCTTTCTTTAAAGACTCAAAATTCTTACGGTACAGGTCTTTCACTTTTTTGGTTAGTGTTTCCCCAAGGTATTTTATCTTGTTTGGGACAATGGTAAAGGGTGATGTTTCTCTCTTTCTCCGAGAATGTATCATCTGTATATAGTAGGGCTACTGATATTTTTTGAGTTAATCTTGTATCCTGCCACTTTGATGAAGGTGTTTATCAGCTGTAGGAGTTCCCTGGTAGAGTTTTTCGGGTCACTTATGCAGACTATCATATCATCTGCAAATAGTGAAAGTTTGACTTCTTCCTTTCCAATTTGTATCCCCTTGATCTCATCTTACTCCTGTCAGAATGACTAAAATAAAAAACACCAATGACAGTTTATGCTGGAGAGGATGTAGAGAAAGGGGATCACTCCTCCACTGCTGGTGGGAGTGCCAAGTTGTACAGCCACTTTGAAAATCAGTATGGTGACTCCTCAGGAAAATGGGAATCAGTCTACCACAAGATCCAGCAATTCCACTCTTAGGTATATACCCAAAAGAAGCACATTCATACAATAAGGACATCTGTTCAATGATGTTCATAGCAGCATTATTTGTAATAGCCAGAAACTGGAAGCAGTCTAGATGCCCCTCAACTGAAAAATGGATAGAGAAAATGTGGCACATTTATACAATGGAGTACTCCTCAGCAGAAAAAAACAATGAAATCTTGAAATTCGTAGGCAAATGGATGGAACTAGAAGAAACCATTCTGAGCGAGGTAACCCAATCACATAAAGACAACCGGTATGTACTCACTCATATAGGGATCTTAGACATAGAGCAAAATATTACCAGCCCACAATCCACACAGCCAGTGAAGCTAGGTAACAAGGAGGACTCTTAAGAGAAACATACATGGTCCCCTGGAGAAGGGGAAAGGGACAAAATCTGAGCAAATTGGGAGCATGGGGGGAGGGGAGAGGGAGCTAGAAGAATGAGGAGAGGAGGGATGAGGAGGACATGATCAAGCAGAAAGGTTGAGTGGGGGGGCGAGAATAGAAGAAAACAAGATAAGAGATACCATAATATAGGGAGACATTTTAGGTTTAAAGAGAAATCAGGCATTAGGGAAATGTCTGGAGATCTACAAAGATGACACCAACTAACAATCTAAGCAACAAAGGAGAGGCTACCTTAAATGTTCTTCCCTGATAATGAGATTGATGAGTAACTTATATGCCATCCTATACCCTTCATCCAGCAGCTGGTAGAAGTAGAAGCAGACACCCACAACTAATCACTGAACTGAACTGGAATCCAGTTGCAGAGAAGGACGAGTGATGAGCAAAGGGTCCAGACCAGGCTGGTGAAACCCACAGAAACAGCTGACCTAACAGGTTGATAGCTGGGAAACCAGCATAGGACTGATCCAGAC